GAGGGGACAGCACCAACACGAACACAGGGTGGCAAGGGGGGGGTCATACAGTGGATAGAGCGGAAGATTGGGAGGAAGCTGGTCTGGATTGTTTGTGACCTCCACACCAACGAGTTGCCACTCAGACATCTGATCCAGGAGCTGGATGGCAAGACTCTTTCAAACAACAGATGGTCTGGTCCTCTTGGCAAGATGCTGGACTCTGCCACTGAGTTAGAAATAAATCCGAGCTTTGAAAAAATCACAGTTGGCCCTCCACTCGTTGAGCTTGCACATACTGTCATTGACGACCTGAGTACTGACCAGTACTATGGTTACATGATTTGCAGTGCCATCAAAACTGGGGTCATGCCTGATAGACTTGCTTACCTGCAGATAGGTCCAGTCTCACATTCTAGGTGGCTCACAACGGCTCTCAGGTTCTGCAGAATTTGGGTCGCTCATCATAAACTGAAAGGGAACCAGCTTCACAACCTGAGACTTATTGTCCAATTCATCGTGAGTGTCTACTTGCCAAATTGGTTCAACACCAAGGTCAAGTCATCGTTCTCCGAAGGTCCGAGGCATGTTCTCTTCCAGCTTCAGCTCCTGAGGAGTCAACCAAGGAAGGTTGTTCAGATTGTGGAGCAGACTGTGAGGAGATCTTCCTGGTATGCTCATCCCAAGGCAGTTCTGCAGACAATGCTCTGCAGTAAGGCTGAGGAGGAGAGAAGAGTGGCTGTCAAAAAGATCTTGGATATGGGACTTATGAGAGGATCTGGGCATGACGAATCAGTTGGTGACGATTCCTTCAGGGTCAGGAAGACTCCTGAAGTCAATCTAGGTGCCAAGACCCTCACTGATCTCATAGATCTGGATAACATCCAGGCTGGCAGTGAGCCCCCTCTTACCTGCAGCCTCACCAATGTTCAAGTCAGAGCTTTCCTGGACAACCCCATGCATGTCCCTGCCTGGCCCTCGCACACCCAGAGTATAGAGCGTTGTACAGCAAGTGAGCGAGGCCAGCAGTCACGTGTACAGCCAGGAGAGGAGGAAAGCTACATCCGAGCTCAGGTGGTCAGCAGGGAGGTGATGAGTAGAAACAGAAGCAAGAAAGACATGTTCTCTATGGTGTGCAGCAACACCGGTCGTAGTAGTAAAACCGGTTTTTGTATTTGATGATTTTGTTTTCTAAAGGAATATTAAATTTAATAAATGTGTCAAGATCATTCGTTTCACTATTCTGGATCATTTTCATCCTAATAAATTAACCTGATACATTTACTTTACTTTAAATAAGCTATTTAGTGGTGTTGGTAAAAGGGTGGGAATACTGAATTTTCATAAGATTTCAAGTTAAAATTTACCTAGCAAAAAATGAAAACTTTTCAAATCTGAAGATATCACATGATTCTGCACATAGAACTACATCATTAATACCATGGGCCGATTTTTCAAACTCAAAAAAAAAAAAATTCGCCTCCGTATGACACACCCTACTACAACAGTGTCCACTATAATATAACAGCGAAAATCCAGTGTTTTCATAATTTTTTTTAAATCAATTTCGCTCACTGGTTAGTCCTATATAATTCCCATTTAAACTAAATTAACCAAACCAAACCTAACCCTCAAATCGGTACAATACCTTAATCAGATGGAAAAACTTTAGAATCTATTTCTGACGTTATTATTCTTGGTAAATTTTTACTTTAGGACAGGAGTCCCTAGGTGTTGACCAATATGATTTTCCAGTGTATTATGGTGTGCTTTAAGCGAACCTGACCTTTATTTTTGTCAGAAATTTATAGTTTTTGCCCCCCAATAATGAGGGAGAGCCTGGGAAAATTGGGTTTTTGGGTGTGGGAGAAAACAAAAACGAGTCATCTAACCTAACCTCTAGCTGGACCACCGGTAGGCCAAACTTAAATTAACCTGACCTAACCTAAATGTTTCAGTAGTTTAAAACTTTGGGGCGCGCCATGTCCGAAAGTACAATACCTTAGTTAGAAGTGGATAGCATGATCATCTTTCTCGTAAAACTCAACAATAAACTTAAAATAATCGTTGGAGCACGAATGATAACCAACCTCCACCATAGCCATTGTTAGACTGGTCAATGAAATTCAAATCCGAACCCAGGCTACTTTCTTTGAAAAAATTCAAGGTATTTTTGCAGTAGTTCACACAACTTTTCTACCCCAAATCTATTATCATATTCGAAAAAGACGTTTAATTATAAGATAATTTTCTTCTTATACATTAGTCACAAATGTATAATAACGGAGATAGCGCATCCAAAATCTTTCTCTATTTTCTTAAATTAATCTTCTGCCATTATCGCCTACCTCACCTGCCACACTGCGTGTCTCCTTCATAAATCATCACGTGCAAGCGCCCCCATACACGTCACGCAGCCAATCAAAAGCGGTTTTTTTTCCACCAAATAAAATAAATTGTGGTTTAATTCACGGTATTTTTTGCCCAATCAGATTTGATTGTAATTTTGGGTCTCTCATATTTCAAAATTCAAATTCATTTCCGACCATGGAAGTCTGTGATGGGTGTCACTTCAATTATATGGAGTTGATTGAGCATTTTGGGGGAAAAAATAAGAAGCAATAGCATTTTCTAGATCTCATGGTGTTCTCCTGACCTCAGTAACGTGTCCTAAGTGCAAGAACAAGTGTAAATATCGTCAAGACCAACATAGATGGCATCAGAGTCAGTCACCTGTACTGATCTCGGAATCCAACAACGAACCAGAACCAGGCCAGTAAGATAAGAAATAAGTGATTCCATCATATGGTGAGAGTTAGGTTAGGTTAGGTTCGGTTGGGGTCTGCCCATATCGCCACCACTATTTTTCACCCGTTTCGTCATCACTGCTTTACCCGTTTCGTCACCGCGTTCATTACCATCAATATATACACAAAAATAACTGTTACTTGGGATAGAAAATAATTAAAAAACACTTAAGACAATTTATTAAAGACGAAAAAAAAATTTGTAATACGCCTGCAATCATCTCACTACTCAGTGGTTTATGCGCTGGTGCCAAATCACCTTCATTTGTTCTGTATTTTGTTTATTTACCAAAGATTTTAATCGTTTTCTTTATTAATAATTAATATTCATATATAATAATAACAATAAATCTCGAGTCATCTGTATACATGTGTAATTTCTATTCGTGTAAAATAATGACTTACAATTTGTCACCAATACCAGAGACTGTTAGTGGTGACGAAAGGGATTTGATATTGGTGATGAAATGGATGACGAACCGGGTTGGTGACAAAATGAGGTGTATCCGTTAGGTTAGGTCATCAAAAATAAGGTTCGGTTTATATGTTTCTCTATTGTTTTTTAATGTACTTTGTATTCGCTTGGCCATGATTTTTGACGGAAGACGCCCCACCCAAAACCCCCGATAACTAATAAAACAGGCAATTTCCGACGGAGATCAAGGTCAGAACCAATCAAAACACAAAACTACAGTACACTAGACAAACATAAATTTGACTTTCTAACAGAGTTGTGTGCACTACTGCAAATTTACCAAATTCAAATGTGATTGGTTGAAAAAAATTTGCGTGATGATATGGATACACCATTGGTCACGACTGGATGACATCAGTCAATATTGCGCATGCGTGATGCATAATTAACTCGGTTTCACGACAATAACATCTCCTCACAGACGATGACTGGTAAGTACATAAAATCAATTAAATTCAATTGTGTCACTATTATCCATTTCCGCCAGGTATGTATGGGGTTCAAAATGCTCAGAATAAAGAGATCCAAATGTTTCAGAAGTTTATAACTTTCGACCGTACTATGTCTTAAAGTAAAATAATACCTTATTCTTTGCCCCCCCCTGGTTGAAATGAGGTTAGAAATACTCCAAATAAGGAGATCTAAAGGTTGGGGATGGTTAAAACAGTCGACCGTGTATTGGCCGAAACTGCAATAATACGACAAAAATACTAACCAAGACTACATTAGAAATAGATTTTGTTAAAATAGTAGCCATATAAGAACGAATGCCTGTGATTATGTAGTGGATTCCTCCCCTACAAACGGTTTTGTCGCTGAGTAGCCGACCCCGTGAATTCCCCAGTGTATGCCTCGCGGTCTAGGTCAACCAGCATCGCCTTACATGACGGAGGTCAACTATTAAGCCACGCCTTCCTCCGCTATATAAGACCTGACCTCGTGGTGACCTACCTCTTTCTACCTCCAGCCAGTCTTCAAGCAACACCTCCTCCTACGCTCCTGCCTGGCGGCCCTCGCTCCCGCCGGCTACCATGGCGAGGGTCCAACTAATTACCCAAATGTAGCCGCAATGAAGTCAAATAATGGCCCTACATGAATAAATCGGGCTGCCAACCACTTCTCGATTATTATTTGGTGTCAAAGTCACAAAAAATTGGTAAACTTAATTTAATCTGAGTTAATAGATCGAGTGCATGTACCTAACCTAACCTAACACAACTCAGATTAAATTAAGTTTACCAATTTTTTCTGACTTTGTGACACAAAATACTAGTCGAGAAGTGATTGACAGTCCGATTTATTCATGTAGGACCATTATTTGACTTTATTGCGGCTACATTTGGGTAATTAGTCTGACCGAGCTGCACTGTACACCCAATATGTGTACAGAGCACATGTGAGTTTCCTCTCCCCAACCCTTCCTGAGTGTGGACCAATATCACATAACCCCACAAATGGTGACCCCCGGAGATTCGCACTCACACAGAAAGGAGGAGAAATACCCCGGAACCCCACAATTATATATTTACAGGAACATTCCGTAAATTTTCATGACAACGAAAGTTACACAGTAACAGAATAATGCACACTATCCATTATGGGACTACATTACCTCTACAACAAGATCTGTTTTCTTCCTCAGGACTAGAAAGTATAGCTTAACTGGTCACTGCATCACTCAGTAGTAAATAAATAATTAAGTATGTTAAATGTATCAAACACTAGGTACAGTAGTCTACCTGAGAGCGGGAGTTGAGACGTTTAACAACAGTTAAGCCTACGACAACCATACTGAATATAAAGAACTTAAATTAGTATATATCTCATCCTTATATAACATTTTATACCAGTAAACAGAATAAATGAATTTATAATTAAATAATGTCTGAATCGGAGTTTCTTTTTTTTGATAATTCACATATTAGTATTTCCATTGCCTATAAAGTTTATACATACTGTATACCATTTCAGGATGGAAGAATTTCGAGCTTCAATATACAGTATATATATATATATATATATATATATATATATATATATATATATATATATATATATATATATATATATATGCTGATAACCACAAGGAAAGAAGAAAACATCACCATATACCTGGATAACGCGCACCCACAGTAATTTATTTGCATATATATTGTAGGGGTATCGAGAGATTAATGTTGTCTAGCACTCAGGATGGAAGGAAACTCTAATGTGGTTTTCTTGTATAATATATAAGTTATATGATAGACAGTCTGGTGCTGGAGGTGCTGTGTGGTGAGGGGCTGCTCAGTAGAAGACGTTCGGTGAGTAGCGTGTTGAAGGAGGTAGATGTGCAGGAGCTTCGTTAGAGAAGATGTTGCCTGTTGCTGGCTTCCTGGTTGAATAAATGTTAACAGCTAGGAGCTTGCTGGAGGAGGTGTTGCTTGTTCAGGAAAATGGGCAGAATGAATCTCAATGGAGAGACAGAGCTTATATACCCAGCAGCCGCAATGAGTCATGTTGGGAAAACCCGAGAAATCGCCGGTGAATAGTTTCGTTGCTAAGATACGGTAACATCTGGGGACAGCTCTCGTTTGGTTGCTAGGCAACGGCACGTTGGAATGTGATAGCAGGTGGTGGCGGTGCTACGCAGTTTGTAGGGGAGACGTCCACTACAATACTCCCCCTCCCCTCCCGGCGCGGCGGGAGGCTGGATGTTGTCCGGGTTGTGTCCCACACATAACATATACCGGGCAGGTGTATGTACGACTCGACCGCTACGTGTAACAACTCCATCCAGTGACACAAAACCTGTGGGAGAATTAGGAGGAGAAAGAGGGTTTGGGATTAGAGGAGGTTGTACAAGCAATGGTTGTTGTGCTCCTGCTGCTGCAGGGGCTGCGTCAGGAGGAGGGTCCATGGCAGGAGCAGGTTCTATGATAGAAGGGAGATCTATTACAGGTTCAAGTTCTATGACAGGAGGAGGGTCTATGACAGGAGCAGGTTCTATGATAGAAGGGAGGTTTATTACAGGTGCAGGTTCTATGACAGGAGCAGGTTGTACATGAGGGTGAAAAGAGGGTGCCCAGAAATGTCGTGGGCGTGGCGTTGCTGCCGGTGGTAACTGCGGGTAGACTGGTGCAGGCGTAGTTTGTTGATGGTGCTGCTGGGCTGGGGGCCCGACGGGTAAGGTGGCCGGTTTGACTCGGTCTATGCTGACGGTGTCATGTCTGCCATTCCTGATAATTGTCAGGAACTTTGCTGAACGGGTAACCACCTGGAAGGGTCCATCGTAGGGGCGTTATAATGGGTTGCGGTGAGCATCATGCCTGACGAAAACATACTCGGCTGTGAGTAGTGCAGGAGGGATGTGTTCAGGGCGCCGAGTAGGCTGGCGTGGAGCAGTAGCTCTGAATGCAGAAACTGCTTGTCGTAGCTTTTGGAGTAAGTCGTGACGAACGGCTGGAGTGGTTTGGTTGGGATCAGGAGGGAGTGAGAAATCCCCAGGTAGCCGAAGGGGCTCGCCTAGGGTGAGATCTGCTGGGCTACAGTCCATATCCTCCTTGTGTGACGCACGGATGCCGAGGAGCACTAAGGGAAGCGCATCAGTCCAGCTGTAAAGGTCGTGCTGTGCCTTGAGTGCGTCCTTCAGCTGCCGGTGAAAACGCTCTACCATGCCGTTGGCTTGAGGGTGGTACGCTGTAGTGCGTTGTCTAGACGTGCCGAGGAACTGTAGGAGGTGCTGCCAGAGTTGTGACTCAAACTGTACTCCTCGGTCAGTGATTACGGTTGCGGGGGGGCCAAAACGGGAAACCCAACCGGACATGAAGGCGCGGACAGTAGTCTCTGCTGTAGCGTTGGGCATGGGAATTGCTTCTGTCCACCTGGTGAAACGGTCGATGCAGGTGAAGATGTAGGTGCTACCGTAGGATGATGGTAGAGGTCCCACGATGTCGAGGTGTACTACTTGAAAACGTCCTTTGGGAATAGGAAAAGGCTTGTAAGGGGGCCCGTATGTGACGATGTATTTTGGAGGACTGGCAGGCCAGGCACTGGGCAGCCCATTTCTTAGTATCAGACTTGATGCCGGGCCAGACGACACGTTGCGTGAGGAGGCGCTGGGAGGCCCGCACACCCGGGTGGCTGAGACCATGGATGCGGTCGAAAACAGCGCGGCGGTGGACGTGAGGCACGAACGGTCTAGGCTGTCCACAGGATACGTCGCACCACAATTTTATCTTTGTGCCAGGAACAGGGAGTTCTTGGAGTATGAGGCCTGAGGGGGATGTCTTGTATGCTGCCAGGTCTTCGTCTTTCTCTTGAGCCGCGGCTAGCTGCCCATAATCAATGGGTGGAGATGAGGGAAGAATGGTGGATATACAACGAGAGAGGGCGTCGGCGATCTCGTTGTGGCTGCCTTTAATGTGTTGGACGTCGCTGGAGAACTTCGAGATGTAAGCCAAGTGGCGCAGGACACGAGGTGTATGTGACTGGGAAGCTGAAGCGAAGGCGTGGACGAGGGGCTTGTGATCAGTGAAGATGGTGAACTGACGGGCCTCGAGGAAGTGTTGGAAATGTTTGACAGCCAGGTATATGGCCAGGAGTTCTCGATCAAAAGCGCTGTACTTGAGGTGTGGTGGTTGAAGCCGTTGTGAGAAGAAAGCAACGGGCATGAAAATTCCGTTGATCTCCTGCTGTAAGACGGCGCCCACTGCAGTAGAAGAAGCGTCTGTTGTGAGAGTGGTCCGGGCGTTAGGTGCGGGGTGGGCCAGGAGGGTGAGGCGTGTAATGTGCTGTTTGATAGTGGTGAATGCCGTAGTAGCCTCTTGAGTCCACATGAGAGACTTGTGAGACTTCTTTGGGCGTCCCTTGAGAAGGTCGTGTAGGGGGGCTAGGACGGTGGCAGCTTTGTCAATGAAGCGGTGGTAGTAGTTGACTAAACCCAGGAACTCTCGGAGTTTCTTCGCCGTTTCAGGTTTGGGGAACTCCCTAATTGCAGTTATCTTCTGTGGTAGGGGTTGTATGCCACTGGGCGAGACTCTGTGACCGAGGAAATCGATGGCCGAGGTTCCAAAGACGCACTTAGCAGGATGAACTTTCATGTTTATGTTCTGCAGGCGTTTGAGAAGGAGTTGTAGGTGGTGGCGGTGCTCGGCAGGCGTCGAAGATGCGACGAGGATGGCGTCAATGTAGACGGTGACAAAATCGAGGTCGCGAAGCATATGGTCCATGAACCTCTGGAAAGTCTGTGCTACATTGCGTAAGCCAAAACTCATGAAAGTGTACTCGAAGAGTCCGAACGGAGTGGTGATGGCTGTCTTCTGGGTATCTGCCGGTGCTACTGGGATCTGGTGGAAGGCACGCTCCAAGTCGATCTTCGAGAAGATAGTCTTGCCATGAAGTTTGTGGTGAAAGTCCTGGACATGCGGAATAGGGTACCTGTCAGGTTTGGTGACGAGATTCAGGGCTCTGTAGTCGCCACACACCCTCCACTCGCCGGGTGTTCGCTTAGGAACCATGTGAAGAGGCGATGCCCAGGGACTCCTTGAAGGGCGAATGATGCCGTCTTGCAGTAGTTTGTTGAATTCTACTTTGGCTGTGTACAGGAGCTCAGGGCACAGGCGGCGAGGGCGTGAAAAGACTGGTGGTCCTTTGGTTTCGATGTGGTGGAAAATTCCCGACGTAGGTGGTGGGGGTAGGGAGACTCGGGGTGAGAAAAGCTCCTTGAATTCGTCGAGCAGGGAGGAGAACTCGTCGGAAGGCGCAAGACAGGTGATAGTGTCCGTGTGTCTGGCACGAGAACCCTGGATCTTGCATGCTGTAGGCTCATGGATGAGGCATAGATGACTTGGTTTGACGCCGAGCTTGTGGAAGGTGAGGAAGTCGAAACCAAGGATGGGTTGAGACACGTCTGCTATCACGAATAACCAACGCAGAGTCTTGGGCAGACCGAGGTCTAAGGCGAGGGTGCGTACGCCGTAGGAGGCGATGGAGGTACCGTTGGCAGCGAACAGGTCATACGAGGGTTGCTTTAACTTGTCTCGTAGTGAGGGAGGGATGAGGCTGACCGATGAACCGGTGTCGATGAGGAACTTCTTGCCGGAGGTGCGGTCGGTGACGCGCAGTAATGAGACGCCTGGAGGGACGGAGGCTGAGGCGTCTACCAGCCTCCGGTGTTGCCGTTTCCCGAATAGGTGCAATAGGGCTCACAGTTTCGAGCATGGCGGCCGAAAGTCTGGTGATACCAGCAGAGGGTAAATTTGTTGTGCTGGGGGTTGGCTGCTGTGTGTCGGAACTTGTAGGGCGTAGTGTGTGAGTCAGGAACCGGCGCAGCAGCGGGTATGGAGGAGCAGAACTGCTCAATGGTGTCCATCCTGCGGTTCAAAATTTGCAACAGGTCCTTGATGTCCATCCTGCGGTTCAAAATTTGCAACAGGTCCTTGATGTCTTGTGAGGTATTGCTCGGCTGAGGGGTGTTGACCCGGCTTACAAGTTCGATGGTAGGTACTGGTGTGACCGTGGCGGCAAGGGGTGCAGCAGCGCACTCGTTAAAAATTCTATCTGCCGCGGTTGCATATAGTTCCGGTGTCGTAGAGTAATCTACTGTGGACAGGATGTTGCGTACTTCCGTGGGTAGCTTTTGTGCGTGAAGCTGGCGCAGGATAGAGTCGGGGAGTCTGTCTGTGTGACAGGAGTTCAGCCGACACATCTCCTCCCAGAGACGTCTTGGGGTTGAGTTCCCGAGGGAGGTAGAGGATAGATCTTGCAGGAGATTGGGGCTGGTCTGTTGATAACACGTCTTCAAGGCA